ACAAAAAAAGTTTACTGTAAGTCAGTCATAATTAAAACAACATAGTAATGATTCAAAAAATAGAAATTAGTCCTTTTGAAGGGGGAAAAAAAAAGAGCCTAGACCAAAATCTGTGTATATTTAAGAGTTAAATGGGAGTGGGGTGGGATTTCCATACTTCATTTGGATTTAGGAATTGGAAAAGTCTATTCTAGAAAAGGTAAAGACGAAGATTAATGTTTTAGAAGCATGCCAGTAGCGTAACTATGGATTTTTGAGAGAACGTACAAAATGTAATGGGACCAGATAAAAGCATTTAAGTCTTTTATGAACCTGGAAGAGAACATTAAAGAGGGAACTGGGGAACATGGGTAAGATTTGTAATAAATTTGACAGGTGAAACCTAAGTGTCTCCAGTGAATGAAGGAACATGAACCCAAAAAATACCAAATGCCTGAGAAACAAATGGTCGACGCATATGACACATGGTCCAAAAGAAGGATCACACAATAAGTAAGGACTTGAAAAGTGTTCAGCCACACATGCAAATGTAGACAATAATGAGCTACCTTGTGAGTATGAAAAACCACACAGCAGTTCTGGATAGTTATGAAGAACACTCTCAGCTGGTATCGTTACAAAGATTATAAAACAATCCATCTTTGTGTTCAAGCAGTATGACAGCATTTAACTAGAGCCAGAAAATGTACCCACTCTTTGACCAGAAATCTCACTCCTGAGAACTTGCTTACGGTCAGTGATTCAAAAGAATAGAAAGCATTCAATACAGAAATGCTATGCAGCGTGGTTAAACATTAATTAATAAGTGAATAGATGGGTTATGCAACTCTGCTCCAAAACCAGTGTCTAAAAATTGAGAGCTTCATAAACTTGTGAGAGAGAAGGCGAGTCAAGTGCAGAGTGCTTTTCTCACCAGGGTCCACGGCTGCCACTCCCTTCTCCTGTGATAGTTTGAAAACTGGCTGAGTCCCAGTCCTGGCTTGCTGCCATGTGGGCGGTTGTTTTGTTTTTAGGGAAAGGGGTGAGATGTGACCCTCTGCCCATCAGAACTCCTACACAGCACCTCTCATCAATGTTATTATACACTGAGACCATCATCTGTCACCTTTGCATGCTTTTCACTTCCTTTATGTATGAAGTGAAAGGAACAATGTAGGGTAGAGAGGGACCAAATGATATAGAGAGATCCCATCCCCCCAGTATGGTCAGGTGAACAAGCCCAACTAGCAAAGCTGGCTGTGGGTCGGACAATGAAACAGGAGGAGAGTGGAGTCTTTTCAAAAGTCCTAGGATTTAAGGTAGTTCTCATTTGTCATAGTATCAGGGGTGGCCAGTTGGTGTGTTCTTGGGCACTTCTTAAGTGGATGATGTTGTCTTAAGTGGAATGAAGCGTTAAAGGCAGCTTTATAAACTGGTGATCAGAGACTGGATGTCAGTATCCCACACAGCTCCCTGCAGGCCTTTCCTCCCCTCGGGATTTCAGCTCTTCCCACTGGTAGTAATTATTGCAAGCGGATGTGTGAGCTACTGGCATGTGCAGAATTAACTCATTTATCAGACACCACTGTGGAAATGAAATAGTTCATGTAAGTGTATTTTCTGGAAAAGTACAAGTTTACACTTTTATTAGGTGACCTATGCCCTTGGTTTCTTGAACAGAGCATGAAAAGCATACATTTTAAACAAATTTTTAATTGGAGGATAACTGCTTTATAATTGTGTGTTCGTTTCTGCCATACAGTGACTGAAATCAGCCATAAGGGTATGTGTGTATATATGTATATCCCTTCCCTCTTGAGCGTCCTTCACACCCACCCCCAACCCACTCTTCTAGGTCATCGCGGAGTGCCGGGCTGGGTTCCCTGTATTATATAGCGAGGTGTGCATGCTCACTTGTAGCTAGGGAGCCCCAACTTTTCTATAATGTGTAGTGTAGAAAAGACATTAGAACAGCTTTGTTTGTGGAAATGGGTTTCATTTAATTTAGCCTCACACATGCATGTCCTGTATGGCATGCATCTGGGGCATATCTGTTCTCCTGTTCTGGCCCTCAGCAGACATGGCTAGTTGATCAGAGCACTCGTCCCTCACGAAGCAGGCTTGGCCTTATGGGGTTCATTGCTCCACACAGCTGGCCTGGGGTCATGGGGGTTATTTGCAGGCAACTGTTGAGTCAGCCATCTCAGCTCAAGACTGATATGGAGTAGCCTACTGACTGTGCACCCTCTTGTTCAATGCTAAATGCACCAAGATGAGGAACTGACAGTAAACAGCAAGGCCCTACTGTGTAGCACAGGGAGCTATATCCAATATCCTGTAATAAGCCATAATGGAAAAGAATATCCATGTCTATGTCTTGCTCTGCAGCAGAACTCAATACAACATTATAAATCAACTATACTTCAATAAAATAAGCTTTAAAAACAAGAAACTGACATTGCAGTCAGGTTTTTTAAAGGTGATTTCAAGGGAAAACATGTACAGTGTGGGTAATTGGATCCTTGCTGTGCTCACCATTTACATGAAGTGCATACTCTGAGCCTCCCTTTTTCTAACAGTCTTGTCTGTGCCTTTTGGTTCAACGTCAGTAATTTCTTGGTTACTGAATATTTATTATTACCGAAATAAGCTCTGGAGGAATAAAGCTTCTACTGAAGACTGTCACTAAATTAGCCATTTTACAAAGTAGTTTAGTGTCTGTACTTAATCAAGTAGCATTCTAGTTGCATTTTAACCTCCCAAGCTTTTTGGATTCAAAGTGAAATCTTCTTTGTGAAATTACATTGTTGGCAAAAGTCTATTTTTGGCTTCTTGCCTCCTGACTGGTAGGACCTCGTTTCTCCCCAAGGAATGTTTGAATGGCTGCCAGTAGTAAGTTCTGTTTCTTCAAATATGTGGGTATTTTATCAATTAAGGTAAAAATAGATGAAGCAAGCCAAGATGTTTTCATTGAGATATTTAGACTTGATGATCAGAACCAACTATATTAAGAAAGATAGAAACTAACTGAATTATCACTGGGTTGCATAAAATGTGGATGAGTCAACAAAACTCTCTTAAAAAGTGAGAAAAATAAATTCTTTCTTTTCTTTCATTCCTTTTGTTCAGTAGTTAAATTCACTGTGAAATAAAAAATGTGTCTGCTGTTTTTGTTTTTGTTTTTTTTTTTTTAAGTGGTAATCATTTCCTGATTCAGAGCTGTCACAGGACAGAAGGTTATCTTGGCACCCTGACAGCCCAGACCCCCCACCCTTCCCCAGAGCCGCTGACCCGCAGCCTGTGCGCCCATCCTTCCTGCCCCACCTCTGCTGGTCACATCTCATCAGGCGTAAAAGCAGGCAATGCCCAAATTATGCTGTTAATCTTTTTTCAAAAGCTTCTTTATTTTATATTGGAGTATAGCCGATTAACGATGTTGTGATAGTTTCAGGTAGATAGCAAAGGGACTCAGCCATACACAGACATGTATCTGCCCTGTCCCCAACTCCCCTCCCATCCAGGCTGCCACATGGTGTGGAGAAGAGCTCCCTTTGCCTTACAGTAGGACCTTGATGGTTACCCGTTTTTACTGTAGCAGCGTGTGCATGTCCGTCCCAGACTCCCTGACTGTCCCTACCCCCATCCTTCCCTCCCCAGCAGCCATAGGTTCATTCTCTATATGCTGTTAATCATAATTAAATTGCCAGTTATTTCATCAGATGTATAAATCCTACTAGTCTATCAAATTGGGAACTTGGCCATCTCTCAGGAACATATAGCTGTAGAAGGTCTGTCATCCCATAGAAGGTGCAAAGTGTGGAACAGGCCCGTAAGCCCTTCCGGAATGTTGATTGAAGGACCCCTGAGTACCTGTCAGCAGGCATTGAGGACTCATGATGGAGGAAAGGGACGTGTGGCTGGGAACCTGCTCTATGCTCCTTCAGGTGGGGTGCTCATCACGGCACCCCGGCCCTGCAGCCTGGCTCCTTCCAGGGCTCCTGGCAGCTCCACCATCCTCTCTAATTCACAGGCTGTGTGGGACCCTCCAGAAACCACCAGCCAAGCAGGTAGCTTCATTAGGAGACGCAGCCAGCAGCCAGGGGGAGACGTAATAGGTTAAATTAAGCACAGAGCACCCATGTCACGGACCCCAGTGTGGTTTCTCAGCCAGTAATCAGATCATGTGAAAAAGCAGCAGCAGCGCTAGCGCACCTGCTGCATCCCTCAGAGTCCAACTGCAGGTGCGCTCGGGCACGGCGTGTGGGGTGGGGGAGTCAGCGTGGATGATGAGATGCATCCCTGGGCCTCACCTCCACCTTGCTGAAAAGCAGGGTTTTCTCTGCATGCCTTTCAGCATTTCTGGGCCAGTGTTCTTATGTTCAGCTCTCAGAGCTGGGCCAGTCTGGTGCCCATTTCAAAGAATATCACCTTCCCTTTCCTGCCCAGCTCGACATTCAATGTGAAGTCACTGGTGCCAGGAACAGAAATGGCCCTGTGCTGTTTGGGGGTGGGGGCGGGGGGACGGAAAGTAGTCGTGCTGATCATTGCTGCCCATGCTGCAGATCTCCCTCTAAGGGTTTTAGTGAGAATATTTGCTAATCTCTCTCACTACCAGCATCTTCACCTTCAGGGAATGGGTCATTCAAGCAGACCCAAAATGCTCACACCTTCCTGCAGCTGGATTGACCTCTGTGTGGCATGTAACTTAACTGTTGTGCATGACAGCCGTGTGTCCAGCCAGGCCCATCACATGTGAAACGTACACTCTGACCACATTCTTTGGCATTGTATCACAGCCTCTCAGGGGCAGTTCTTGGCTTCACACAACATATAGACACCGGCGGACATGCACACACTTACACACATCTGCAGATATGCACACACGGATACACATGTGGCTGTCTCACACCCACACATCTGTTTTTCATAGGACCCATCACCTGAGCCTTACATGTACCCCAGAGGCTCTCAAGTGAGGAGAGATATTACTGTTCAAAGGAAAATTCTAAATCTTATTTCAGGTCTTGACTCAGATGAAGAACTTGGGCTGCTCTGTCATCACACATCCTATCTAGGTGACTGTTTGGGGCTGATTGTGGGTGCTCCATCCTCCATAACCTTTCCTTTCTGTTTCATTATCTGCACGTGTGCATGGTTATAGACGCGCGGAGGGTTGGGGATGCACAGGGTGACATGTCCGGGCCATCGTGTCTCAAGAATGCTCTCCAGGTCTGGAGAGAGGTGCCTCTCCTGGGTTCTGTTCATCACCCAACGCCGTTCTTTCACACCCAATGACAGCTTTGGCGTTTCTTGGGATGTGCATAGAAGAAAGATTGGCTGTAGCAAACCCAGTGTCTGCTTGTTGTCCCATGGCCTTGGTGTCTGTGTGCCATGCAGCCCAGCAGGACGGCCGATCTGAATGCTTGCTGATTGTCAGCAGCTTGCCTGAGTTTGTTTTTCTTTGTTTTCTTTAAAACAGGGCAGTAACTGGTCGGGGGGAGGGGCAGATTTTATTTAGAAACTATTCATTTCCACCAGGAGACAGTGCCTTGCAGCTATTCCTAACTCTTCTGTCTATGTGTCTCCCCTCCCCAGACCAGAGAGTGGCATCCTTCTGTACCCTGACAGACATGCACCCCGAGCAGGACCTGGAAGGGGCCCAGGAGCTGCCTTTGTGTGTCGATCCTGGCAGCAGCAAAGATTTCATGGACCCAGCTGGGTATGTGACCCCTGTGGTGTGCCTCCTTCCCATGTCCCAGGCCCCAGCAATTAACAGAAGCTCAGCCCAGAGCAGCCAGGAAACCGTTCCACCTGTCTTCACCTAGTCCTGAAGGACCCAGAGAAGGGACTGAGCAGGCCTGACTCTGCTTCCTGCCCTGCTGGGCTGGATGGAGCTTGTGCTCCACGGGTGAGCCCTGCCTGCCAAGACGTATAGCCCATGCCCTGGATGGTGAGGCTGAGCTCCCGAGTGGGAGGGGGTGGCCCCAGTCAGTGTCTGCCACCTGATCACGGCAGCAGCACTGGCCAGGGACACCTTGCTGGCTCTGCCAGGCTGCATGTACTCAGCTCCTGAGCACACATGCTCCCCTCAACCCTGGGCCTCCACCCAGCCCCGCACCTCCCACTGAAGTGTGCCAGGAGCCAGCTGTCTCTACCCTTGTCTTCTTTTTTTTAAATACTTCACAGCATGTGGGATCTTAGCTCCCCAACTCGGGATTGAACCCATGCCCCTTGTGTGGGCAACACAGAGTCCTAACCACTGGTGCACCAGGGAAGTCCCTCTGTCCCTGTGTTCTTGATGTGTTCATCACCCACACAGTGTTACTTTCTTTCTCAGTGCCATCCACTCCTAATTCCAACTCTTCTATCAACTTGAGTGATCAGTGACTTGCATGTTCATCTTGGTGATGGATTCCTTGATACTTTCTTGATAGAGAAAGGCAAATTGGGGAAATTGAGTCTCTTTGGTTCCCAGGACTTGACTCTGGTCTGCCTAATCTTGGCTACCTAAGTGCATTTAGATCATCTATCTTTTGTTTTCTTGTCAATGTATGTGCCAATAGAGATTCTGAAGCCCCTTTTAAGTCAAAAGCAACCCAGGAGGGATTTTCCACCAAAGCAGTGACATGTTGACCTGCAACATCTGACATAATCTTATTTACTTCCTTGCTGTGCTCTCGGCACATGATAGAATGTCTTGCATGAACACTGCCAACTTTCTGAATGCCCTGGCTTGACTTCAGCACTCTTGAGTTGTTCTAAGTCATTCCTTCCTTGCTAGGGAGCGATCTCCATCCACACTGACTGGGAAAGTCAACCAACTGGAGTTGATTCTTCGGCAGCTGCAGACAGATCTTCGGAAGGTAAAACAATCAATTGGAAGTTCCTGCTCAGAATTCTGTCTCTTATACAATCAACCCCTTTTAACTACTAGGAATACAAAGAAAGACACTTGACAACAATAAGTGCCCTAATCAAAGCCCAACAGTAAATGGGAATGGAGACACCCAAGGTCTGACTCCATCTCTTGCCCACAGCTACTCTATTTTATTGTAGGAGACACAGGATCCAGTAGATCTGACTGAACAAGGATGTGCCTTTGGGTAGCTGGTCTTCAGAGTGAGGAAGACATGCAGCATACTAGCATTTGTCAATTCAGTGGATTATCAGTTATGAGTTGACCTAAAAGGAGTTAGTTGGTGCCAGGAAGCCTGGTCTCCCCAAGCTTTTGTCCCCACAGTGAGTCAGCGTCTTTTCTACCCATCAACCTGTGTGTGCTCAGTCCTCAAAAGACATGCCATTGTTTATTCCTTAGACATTTGCTGAGCTCTTGTTGAATTATCAGTGCCGTGCTGGGTAGCTGCTTTGCTCTCCAGGAAAATGAAATGGGGTACAGTAGCTGGCGGGGGATAGTCAGGTGGGGAGGGTTCTGTTGGTGAAAGAAGGGAGAAGTAACAGCTGGCATGAATGCTGGTGGAAATAACCCAGTTGGGAGGGAAATAATGGTGGGAGTAAAGAGTGTAATGTCCTAAGCCTAACAAGGAGGGTGTAGCTCCAGATGCAAGTAGGGACTATTCTCAATAGTTACCAGAGCAGAGTGTGTGTGAGTGATTCATACATGAGTGCAAGTCTACCTCAGAGAGATTGCAGGTTTGGTTCCAGACTACTGCAATAAAGTGAATATCATGGTAAATTGAGTCACATGAATATTTTGGTTTTTCAGTGCATATAAAGATTATGTTTACACTGTACTGTAGTCTAAGTGTGCAATAGCATTATGTCCACAAAAACAATGTACATAACTTAATTAAAAAATACTTTATGCTAAAAAGTGCCAAAACAATTACAGTAGTAGCACTGAAGATCAGAGATCACCATAACAAATGTAATAATAATGGAAAAGTTTGGAATATTGGGAGAATTACCAGATGTGACACAGAAACATGAAGTGAGCAAATGCAGTTGGCTAAATGGTACTGAGAGACTTGCTTAATGCAGGGTTGCCACAAACCTACAAATTGTAAAACACGAGGCTGCAAAGCCTAGTGAAGTGAGGTGTGGCAGTAGTCCAAACAGAGAGAGGTTGACAAAGTTCTCCTCTGGTTTATTTCTTTATTCCAGAACTGAGGGTGAGCAATGGGAAAGAGGGTGAGAGATAGCAGGATGGAGGGAAGGTGTAGAATGGAGGGTAGCTGGGTATTTGGTGGGATTGTAGCATAACTTAGGTGTTTCCTCCAGCATGGTTGACCAGCTGTCCTAGTTTACCTGATGGGTTTAGGACACAGAATTTTTAGAGCTGGCTCTGGGAACATCTCAGACCAACTGGGATGGCTGGTAACTCTGTTTCCCGATAGGTGTCGAATAATTGGAGAGTTGAATTTAACCAATATTAGAGTTATGCAGTTTGTAAAGGATATGATTAAACTGAGGGACTCAGAGTCTAAGCTGGGTGAGAAGGAATAATGTCCCTGCAGTGGGTGTCAATGGACAGTGACCATAAGGCAAGACTGGTGGATTAAAATCATTTTTGAGGGGTGGATACTGGAGAAATTATTTTAAAAAGACAACAGGCAGTGATCAGGCAGTATGGGCTTGAAACATTTAGGAACATGTGCAGTTATCAATAATAGCTTCAAGGTCCAGGATATGGCTGGGGTGGGGTGAGGGGCATTGAGGAGGGTGGGCTTAAGATCACAGAAAGGCTGAATCATATGGAATGTCTGTTGGGTCTTGAAATCATTAACAGACATGATGAATGGAGAAGGAAAGAAGAAAAATGAACCATGTTCTAGAATCTTCCATGATGGGAAGGGCTGGAGATATAGCTGACCATGGCAGGGAGCAGGGGTGCCAGGTCTTACAGCCAGTGTCATGGGATTTTAGGGAAGAGCAATCACCTGCCGGGGCAGCAGGGCCAAGGTGTTGGCCTGCCTTGCCTCTAAGCTCCGTGCTCTTCAGAACAAGCCCTCAGCCTTCTGAGCTGCCGGGAAAGCAGCATCCCCAGGAGAGAGCCAAGACTCATTTACAGCTGAAAATGAAAGGAACGCTCAGGGAAGAAGGTGTGGAGAGTATAGAAGGTTTTAGTGACAGGACACACTCCGTGGGCAGGGGAGAAGGACTGGGGGTCGTGAGAGGCCGGCAGCTGGGCTGCAGGGACGTCTGACCTGTGTTGCAGCAGGGACGTCTGACCTGTGTTGCAGCAGGGACGTCTGACCTGTGTTGGACATGAGAGCCCGGAGCTTGGTGAGAACAGGAGCTTGAGCCTCTTGTGACCAAGAGAAGACCAGACTTGAGTGGGCTGAGTTAGCAACCAGTCCTAATCCAGGTGTCCTCTGGAGACTGGTGTCTGTTCATTAGATGAGGCAAGTGGTGTTGGGGACGGGTTGTGGAGGGACAGGAAAAAGGAGCAGACATCAAGGAGAGGACCAGACATGCAGAGGGGGCCAGTCTCCTGAAGAGCCTGAGCTCCCAGCTCACTGCTGCAGGAGTGTCTGCGGTGTTGACAGTCGGGTCACCTCCCTGTAAAAGCAGCACTCACCGTGAGGATGACCCCCCACCTCCTCTTCCTCTCTGGGTCAAGCATCCCTTTCAGCATTTGGGAGCTCAAATTTGTGTTGTACATTTTTCTTTACTGTCTATTGGAAACTCTGTATGTGATTCTTCAGAAAAATCTTGATTATTTGAACAGTTTTTAGTGGCGCACTTTGAAGGTTATTATGGAAATACAGCTTCCCAGGAAAGCTTTCAGATGAGATGAGGTAGTGAAAACCAAGCCCACAGTCAGCAGCTCTGCGGATTCTTACTTGTCCAGTAAGAAGCCCTGCCGTGGAAGCTCTGTCCTCCTGTCCAAGGCTACACCTCTTCCCAGGTCCCCTTTTTCAGAGACAGGATGATAGAAACTGGTTAATCACCTTCCTATGTAACCGCTGTCTTGGCTCCTGTTGGGAACAAAGTGGGATGAAAGGAAAGAATATTCTTAGTTACTTATTCTCACCCTCATTTTTGGAAAAGCCAGAACAGGCAGTCAGATCCCCTCTGCCCCCAAGAAATGAATAAATCTATAAAATACATAAATAGGGATAGAAGTGCTCAGACTGCAGCTGGTAGGAGAGACTGTGTCCAGCAAGTGCATGACTGTTTGTCTCCATCCCCCTCCCAGGAGAAGCAGGACAAGGCAGTGCTACAGGCGGAGGTCCAGCACCTGCGGCAGGACAACCTGCGGCTGCAGGAGGAGTCGCAGACAGCTGCGGCCCAGCTGCGCAAGTTCACAGAGTGGTTCTTCAACACCATCGACAAGAAGCCGTAACCAGGCCGCCACCCACCTAGGGACCCTGGGGAAGCCCGGAGTCCCTTCATAGTCGCCAACATGTGGTTTCTTGCTGTGCTTCTGGCCCATCGTAGCTGTGTTTGCTGTCCCGCTCTGTCTAGCGCCATGCCCCCAGCAGGACAGGGAGCCACCGTGTGACCGCAGAGAGCAACACCCGTGAAGATGAATGTAACGCTGGTGTCGAGATGAATGTAAACTCTGGTGTCAGTGTGGACCTTTCAGGCTCTGCTGAAATGGAGCTCTGTGTGGGCTTACCTCACAAGGGACGATGGTTGTTTATTTAAGCTTATTTAACCTTAAATTGTTAATTTTATAAACTTTGGTTTCACCTGCACTATGACGGAGGGCAGTGTAGGTGGCAGAGGGCTCAGAAGAGGCTGAGCTTGCCAGAGCAGAGTGAGGAGCGGGGCCGGACCTTCTAACAACTGGATGCTGCTAGTAACAAGTTGTTTGTATTGCTTTACCATTTTTAACTGTTCTATTTGAGATGAACGTACATTTTGCTTTTTTTAATAAATGTTTAAAATGAGTCCACACAAGGAACAGTGTTGTCAGGTGACTGTAGACTTTGATGCTCTGATATGTCAACAATCTGAGTGTATGAGGATTTATTCTGGGTCATTTAGGACCTTAATCTGTGCTGAGTACTATGTAGCCTTCTTACAGAATCCCAACCTGATTGAAAGTAGAGTTACTGGTAGTGGTTAATGGTTGCCACATGCCAGACCCTATTCTTTGCACTTTTCATCCATCTCATTGAACCCTAGCATTACCCTTCATAGGTAGGTGCTGGGATTCCCATCTTACAGCTCAGTAAACTGAGGCTGAAGCCAGGCAGATGCTTTTGCTTTACAGGGTAACCAAGCAGATACAAAAGTTGATGTTATTTAGAGAAGACAAAGGAAGCTGATCTAACTTCCCTGAGTGGACTGTCTTCCCACCTTCCTAAGCCATACCTACAGACAAGACCAGAAGGTTTCTCTTTGTTTTTTAGTCATGCCACATGGCATGTGAGATCTTCGTTTTCTGACCAGGGATGGAACCCATGCCACTTGTACTAGAAGCACAGAGTCTTAACCACTGGACTGCCAGAGAAGTCCCACCAGAAGGTTTTTGTTTTGTTTTTGAAGAAATACTTTTCTGTCTATACTAGGGCTTCCCTGGTGGTTCAGTCTCTAAAGAATTCACCTGCGATGCAGGAGACCTGGGTTCAATCTCTGTATTAGGAAGATCCCCTGGAAAAGGAAATGGCTACTCACTCCAGTATTCTTGCCTGATACTAGCAAAGAATGAATCATCTCTCAGGTCTTCCCCCAAAGGCTATGCCAGAGAACATGACCATGTGTTGGCCTATAGGACTTTTTTTAAAATGAATGTTTCCAGTCAGCAGCCAAGCTGTAGAATATCACTGTCTTGCTCCCATTGTGCATGTGGTTTTGAGCAACTTGATGTCCTCATGGACACTTGTTAATTACATAATGTACCCTTAGCAACTCAGCACAGTTTTCTGTATGGACTCACTATGTATAAACTCATTAAATATTAGACTGTATCCACTAAAAGTTATTTTTATTTCAGAATAAGTAATATCAAGTGGGTTTTTCCCTAACCATATGCAGTGGTCTATTATGTGTTAAGGCCATTTTCACATATGACAAAGTTAATTCTTATTGCATAGGCTTTATCCTGCTATTCTCAGTCTTAAGGAGCAGGTTTATCTTTAAAAATATAAATTACTTTGGGCATGGGCAGAGAGTATAACAATACCGTCCTGCCTTCATTGATATCACAATTATCTTTGAAATGCTAGGAATCGTCTGTCCTGCTAACCCATTAAAATGCTGAAATTGATGACATGTCATTAACTGAAGTCTTCTTCAAACTCATGAAACCATAAAGCATAGTGCTCATCTGCAGAGCCAAAGATCAAAGAGATAACTATATAAAACAGTAAGAAGCATGCTCTTCATAGATTTCTTAATGAAGAACTGTGACGATGGTCAGTAGTAGAGAACATGAATATTAGCATCACTTGATCCTTGTGTAAAATGTGGGCCTGGGAAGTGGGAAGCCTGGATTGCGTTTTAAGAAGAGAACAGACATGAAATTTAGACTGACCAAAAAACTCTGGTGGTAGAGAAGCCGTGAATATGATCTCTTGAAGAGTTGACCCTGCTCTTTTTCCCACGACGAAGGAGAATCACTAGAACAAGCCACCATGTATGGCAAAGCCACGCTCTCTGCCACAGTCCCTGTGAACTAGACTCACGCAAACCTTTCTGAGAGACAAAGGCCCACCACTTTTAGTCCCAATCTCTGAAAGTTCTTGATTCATCTCACATCCTCTGAGATCAAGCCAATGGTTTGCTCTTCAGAATTTCCAAGTTGGGGGATGGAGCAGGGAAAGGGAGGGTTGCAGGAGGAGGTGATGAAGATGTTTATAGATGCTCTGCCCTTTTGGATGACTGGTTAGTAAGAATCAGTTCCAGTCCACTTGAGCATTTGTGGATTTGGTGCTTACAAATTTAAAACCACTCCCCTAGTTCTAGCCTGGGCAGTTTATGCATGTTACACACTAGCAGGAAGGAAAGTAGATAGAGTTGACTGGGTTTAATTCAACACCTGATTAAAGGCAGGTGGGAGGGAAATGTGTTTGTTTATGCTCCTCAGAGGGAACATGATAAGAGACATGCAAAAATCCCAGGAATGCATTGGGTTTCTGACCTATGACCTCCAGTTCAGTTCAGTCGCTCAGTCGTGTCTGACTCTTGGCCACCCCATGGACTGCAGCACTCCAGGCTTCCTTGTTCTTCACCAACTCCTGAAGGTTACTCAGACTCATGTCCATCAAGTCAGTGATGCCATCCAACCATCTCATCCTTTGTTGTCCCCTTCTCTTGCCTTCAATCTTTTCCACCATTCAGGGTCTTTTCAGATGAGTCAGTTCTTTGCATCTGGTGGCCAAAATATTGGAGTTTCAGCTTCAGCATCAGTCCTTCCAATGAATATTCAGGACTGATTTCCTTTAGAATTGACTGGTTGGATCTCATTGCAGTCCAAGGGACTCTCAAGAGTTTGCTCCAACGTTCAAAAGCATTAATTCTTTGGCGCTCAACTTTCTTTATAGTCCAACTCTCACATCCATACCCTAACTTCCTGACTGCCAATAATAAGAATTACACAAAAGCTTAAACCCAAAGAAAGTCTTCTAGTGAATTTTATAACAGATTTAAATGAGCATCACTTCCAAAAGTGACATTCTGATATTTTAACTTATAAGATTCAGGAACTGTTACTTAAGAGAAATAGATTTTAAGTTCCCTCTAGTTCATCTTAATATCAGAAAATTCAACTATTCAATTATCAGCAGACTGAAACATACCACCCTCTGTTTTCCATCCCTAGTATCTGACCTACCACAAATTTGCAGAGCAGCTTGGTTTTTCACAAGTAGAGATAAGAAAATCATCAACCCCTTTGACATGCAAATACCCTTTGGTCGCTTATTAGAGAACAGCATTAAGGGTTCGATTTCCCATGTCTTGGCCATCAGCATCAGCATCGGCCCCTTTGGAGCCCATGTAAAGGAACTTTTCTTGTTTAAATATCAGCTCCTCCCTTAGCCTGTGCCCTGCATTGAAATGGGGAGGAAGGCCGCATACAAGAGGGGATTCAGAGTCGCAGCATTTCAGTAAATCATCTGCCTCGCCTAAATTGGTGCTGGCTTGGAGAAAATGGCTATAAATACACATCTGCAGCTGGAGATGTCAACCCCTGACAGAGCTTCTCCATTGCTGTGCAGAGCGTCAATGGGGCCTGGGCGTCTGGATCCTCGCCCCTCCTCCCCATGACCGTAATCATTGATCGCAAACCAAGTGGGATCTCGCTGAATGCTCCATTAAACCGGAATAATTAAACATGGCAGTCATGGACTCTTCTAGGATCTGATTAAACACCTTGCAGAAGTCATTACTGAACCCCATCTGGGCTGAGGGCTTGCCAAACAGCAGGCTAAAACCCACAATTCCTGTTGCCATGAATAGAGAATTCTGAGACTGGGCTTTCTGTATCCCTGTAAATTAAGCACTTGAGAACTCAGCACTGTTCAGAGGAAAAAGGGACACTCTGACAGCAGGGCACAGGGGTCTGAGGGTTTACCCTCAACTCCTTCTTGAATCTTTTTTATCACTACTCTTTAACTATCCAAAGACCATCATTCAGTCAACAACATCCTAAAACCATTTCATCTCTTGAGTTGCTGAGCTCTAAACAGAAGGAGGCATGGTGGTGACCTAGTTAAAGAGACTAGCATATGGGGGACATGCTGCTTATACTAATTCCATTGTGGAGATGAACTCTGAAATCCAGTGTTTCCTCCTAACTGAACAGGTTCTTGTTCTAGTCTTTCAAAGCAGGAGCCTCTTAAGAGATTTGCCCCGAAATGCAAAATTGAACTAAATTTGGCTACCCTAATGGTCTGCTGTCTCATTGTCTGTATGAGGATTATTCCTGTCAGTGACACTGATTTCCAAATGAGAAATTATATTGTTTAAATGTTCTCCAATAATGTAGCCATGTGCAGAAAGATGCCTAAAAAATCCCACCTTCACTCTTTCAAAGAACAACTTGGGTGAATGAGCTTAGTTCTACCATATAAATACATTACATTAATGGATGTGAACATCTAACTTATAGGTGCACATTTTATTTATAAAAATATTTGCCAATATATATGACCATTTTCAATCTCTTGCTTGGAAATTTTGACACCGCCAGTCCTTCTGCAATAACCATTGCCTCTTACAGAAACCTGTTACCTTTTTTCTTCTCTGAGATTTCATCATGCATGACCTTGTCTCCTCTTGAGTTATACCTTGTGATGAATTGTATCATAACTTGATCGCAAACCAAGTGGGATCTCGCTGAATGCTCCATTAAACCGGAATAATTAAACATGGCAGTCATGGACTCTTCTAGGATCTGATTAAACACCTTGCAGAAGTCATTACTGAACCCCATCTGGGCTGAGGGCTTGCCAAACAGCAGGCTAAAACCCACAATTCCTGTTGCCATGAATAGAGAATTCTGAGACTGGGCTTTCTGTATCCCTGTAAATTAAGCACTTGAGAACTCAGCACTGTTCAGAGGAAAAAGGGACACTCTGACAGCAGGGCACAGGGGTCTGAGGGTTTACCCTCAACTCCTTCTTGAATCTTTTTTATCACTACTCTTTAACTATCCAAAGACCATCATTCAGTCAACAACATCCTAAAACCA